ACCCCCCACCCCGACCCCATACACCTGATGTTGCCCTTGGTTTACCCAAAACAGTCCAAACTTCTCAGCAAGCTTTCAAAGCTCTGCACAGCTGAACCTGTGATTACCTTCACCACCTCACCCACCCAGGTGCCGTGATCTGTAACCAGCAGAAATGGCTACACTTGGAAGCTCACTGTTTAACAATGTACTCCGGCTTTCTGGCCTCTATGCCTGTGCTCACACAATTTCTTCTTTACCCCGCTCTCTCAAGCTCCATTGGTTACTATCCCCTCATTATTCAAAGGAGGAATCTTAAATTCCACATGCTCCATGGAAACCGACATCCAGACCAGTCTAGCATTCTGCCTGTCCTCATAGGAACTTGCTGTTGTCTTGATCAATACTGATCAACATTGATGTACATTCTCTCTTTGTCAGTGACACTGTGTGGCGTATACAGAGCAGGTGGCTTAGCCCCACAGTAGGAGGTGAAGGCGAGTTGAAGTCAGATGAGGTTTGCCTAAGGCTTGCTGTTTTTTAGTGTAGGACCTGGGTTAGAATCTGACTTGGGGACTTTTTATATTTCTCCCACCATCTCCTTTACCCCGTCTGTTTCCTTCATCCAAAAGGAGCCTGATGGATTTTAGCCAGTGCTGTGGATTCCGTGGCCCCTAGATTCTGTGCCCTAGACAGTGGGGGAGTCCTGGGGAGCGATTTGTGTCTCTCCCTAACTCTGAAAGTTTTCAGGTTTATAAGGAGGAAAGTATAGCAGGTAAAATACTGGGACTTTGAAGTCAAAAAGCCCATGTTCCTATTCTGGCTCTGCCTCTTGCCATTTGTGTGACTTGTCAAGTCATTTATTTAACTTCCTTGAGCCTCAGTCTCTTCATCTGCAAAACGAAGGTAGTGATAGTCCCTATCTCCTGTGGTTGTGAGGATTAGATGAGTTGGTGTGTGGGAAGTGCATAGCTCAGTGCCTGGCTGGTGAATGATAACTTGTTAACAGGGATTGTGCAGCTCCTACTTGTAGGGAGCTTTGGGGTTCCTGGTTTACAGAACCATGCCCCTCACCATCCACATGTTAGCCTGCAGTATCTCCACCTCGCAGGTCTCCTAAAATGTTTATTAAGATATAGGCATTATATCTTATGTAAGATCCTGCTTGCAGGGCCAAGGCCAAAGGTGGAGTCAGTTGCTATCTGGGGGCACCCCTATAGTGCAAGGCATGGAAGGCCTTTTCTTCAGTGGCCCATCTGGAAACCCCTGTCTCACCTTCAGAGGAAGGAGGCTGTTGTCTGGATCATTTGGAGAGAGGGCCTAGGTTAGAATTAGGTTTCTTTGCTGAATGGTTGGGGCAGACCATGAAGTGGGCTCATCACAGCTGCAGGTAGTCATAAGAGGAACTGGGTGAAGAGAGTGTTGCCACCTGGGTGAGGCTGAATCTGGGTGAGGCTTGGATCAGAGAACTTGGGGCCTTCCTGGGACTAACATCCTCTTTCCCCATTGGCCAGCGAGAGCACCAGGACCCCCTGATCTGTGCTCCTACGGGCCTGGGTCTCATGGTGCCTTTTCAGCCTCCGAGTGCTCTCCCACTCATCGGTTTTCGTTTATTTGGGGATTGGAGGGCTTTAAGCTGGGGTTTTTTACCTGATTTTAAGGGTCAGGAGTGGAGGCATGGAGAGGGAGTTGTAACAATAATAAATGAATAAGAGCTTTATTTAACTCAAGTCTCTTAGGGATGAATTTTTAATGAAAATGTCTTGAGACCTTAGGCATTTACACTGTGGGTTTAAGAAAATATTTTGGAAAACTCCCTCCCATTCCATCCCCATTCCAGCGATAGCTGCTCCTCTACCTCTGGTCTTGCCCTCTCTTGCACTCCTCCTCAATGCTACAGAGACTTGTTGGTTATCGTTGTATCCTTTTTTGCGCACCTGCCCTCCTCAGCGGCATCATTTTCCCCGTTTGACAGGTGAGAACACTGATGGAGTGAGGTTGAGGTTGCCTGCTACCAGGCTGCTAATTAGAATCTGTCTCTGAGATGGGCTGCCTTCCCCGTTTGTTCTGCTGTTTGCAGCCTGAGTCGGTGAATTTTAGCTAGAGTCCTGGAGAGCTCTCACATCAACTGCACTGTTCCTCTTCTCACTCAGCAGACTCTAAGCTGCATTTCCTTCTCCTTTGGGAAGTGGTTAAGATCATGGGCTTTGGAACTAGGCCAACTTGGATTGGACTCCAGGCTCTGTGGCTGTCATGGAAAGTGTTATGTGTTGAATTGTCGTTCCCCCACACACACACACAAAGATCTGTTGAAGTCCTCACCCCCAGTACCTCAGAATGTGACCTTATTTGGCAATAGGGTCATTGCAGATGTAATTAGTTAAGATGAAGTTATACTGGAGTAGGGTGGGCCCCAATCCGGTATGAGTGGTCCTTATAAGAAGATGACCAAGTGAAGAAAGAGAGATGCCATGTGAAGATGGAGGCAGAGAATGGAGATCAGATGCATCCACAAGCCAAGGAATGTAAGGGTTGCTGCCGTTACCGGAAGCTAGGAGAGAACACTGGGAAAGATTGATTCTCCCTCACAGCCCTCCCAACAGCCTGGTTTCAGATTTCTAGCCTCCTGAACTGTGAGGGAATAAATTTCAGTTTTAAGCCACCCAGTTTGTGGTGCTTTGTTATGGCAGCTCTAGGAAAAGAAGATATGGGAAGTTACTTGAGTTTTCTGAGCTTCAGTGTCCCCATCTGAAGAAATGGTATACTATACCCTACATCATGTGGTGTGTGTGTGTGTGTGTGTCACACAATTAAGTGAGAAGCAGCTTCTGCTTCCTTATTCTAGTCTGGAAACGCGGGGCTGATGTAGCTGACCTGTTTCCCTCTTTGTTTCTCCCTTTAGCTGAGTGAGGAGTTGGATCAAGTGGTTGAGAACTCAGATCAGGCGGACGAGCGGGAAAAGGCAACAGTCCGAGTCCAGGGTTCGGGAGTCTTACCAGGTAAGTGGGCTCAGTGCTGGGGGTGGAAGAGCGGGGAAAGTGGTGTGTGTTGTTGCTGCGGCTCGAGGCCAGGTGCCTCACCAGCGGGGTACCTGTGGGACAGGCGGAGGACCCCACCACCCTCCACCCCCTCCTTGTGCCTTGGTGTCAGATCGCAGGTATTGCCCTAGTTTTAAAGCTATACATATTTAATCAGCCTTGGGACAGAGGATGTGTCCAGGCCGGTATATGCTCTTTTCTGTTCTCCAGTTTGAGCCAGTTCCTGGGGCCAGGTCATTGGCTACAATAGCAAGGGCTTTGGGTCTATGCTCTTCCCTTAGTTTTTCCCTAGGAAGCTGGTAGCAGTTGAACTTCTCATATCTGGGTCACTTCCCAGAGCCCTCTGGGAGGATATCTAATAGGCACCACCACCCAGCCAGTTGAACTTGGGAGTCATTCTTTTTTCTTTCCTTCCCTTCTTCACTTTTTTTCTCTGCCCCTCAGCTGTGCTGGCCTTCTTTTATTTTGGGCCCCACTCTTTCCCAGTATAGGAGGGAATTCCTCTGCCTGGAGTTGTCTTCCCTCTGCCTAGTTCATGCCTAATCATTCTTTAACTCACTTTTTCCTACTCTCACCTCCTGGCTAGATCGCTTCTCACCCTCCAACACTGTCACATGTAGCCTACACGCCTCTCCCTTTAGCTGTTGCTGGTGGAATGGTGTATTTGTTTGCCTGACTGTTTGATTCATGCCTGTCTATTCTAGAACGTAAGCTCCATGAGGATAGAGACCAGTCTGTTTTGCTCACCACCTTAGCCCTGGTCATGCAATAAAGATTTGTTGAGTGAGTGAGTGAATGGAGCCCCAGCTAGACTCCAGCTTCTTGAGTGGACTCAGGAAGGTGGGATTCTGCTGCTCTTGATTCCTGTGCTGGTGGGGGAGGGGAACAGGGTAGGAAATTCTGTGATTGTGCCCAACCCTTAGAGGAGACTTTGTAGAAGGAAGGAGGCTGGAAAGGCAGCTCACACTTACTGACGGCGTCCTCAGAGCCAGGCTCTGTCATAACCGTTGCCCCATTTGTAAAAATCCTGTGAGGTGGTCATCCTCATTTTTACAGATGAGGCTGAGCCGCCCTGAGGCTCAAGGAGGTTAAGTCAAGTGTGGGAAGATCACATGGCTGGTAAACAGACAGACTGGATCAAGTTCTCTCTCACCCCAACTCACAGTGGTTTTTAAAAAATATTTTAGGTGTCTTTTTATTAAAGCCCAGTGTATAAAAGGCAGTAGCATGACCTCCCCTCCCCCCACCCCGTGACTCTAGACACTGCCTCTAAGGTCCTAAGGTCCCAGGGAGTATAGTTTAAAAGCCTTGTATATTGGTTTCTATGTTACCGTAACAAATTACCACAAACGTAGAGGCTTAAAACAACACAAATTTATTATCTTATAGTAATGGAGGTCAGAAGTCCAAAGTGGGTCCCAGTGGGCTAAAATTAAGGTGCTGGCAAGCCTGGATGTCTTTCTGGAGGCTCTAGGGGGTTCTCCATTGAGTGCCTTTCCTAGCTTCTAGAGGCTGCCCAAATTCTGGCTTGTGGCCCTTCTTCCATCTTCCAACTGGCAGTGGCTGGTCGAGTCTTGCTCACGTCTTATCATGTTGATACTGCCTCCTGCTGCCATGTTTAAGGAGCCCTTGTGATGACAGTGGGTCCACCCAGATAACCTAAGATCATCTCCCTGTTTTAAGGTCAGGTGATGAACAGCTTTCATCTTCTGCCTTAATTTCTCTTTGCCATGTAACTTGACGTATTTGCAAGTTCTAAGAATTAGGGCTTGGACATCTCTGGTGGGCCCTTATTCTGCCTGCTGCACCCTGCACTGCCTGCCCTGTTGCCCCCAATTAGAAGAGGACAGATGGAGGTAGCAGGAAGGAGAAGACGGAGGGCAGGCTTGGAAAGATGACATTTCCTTTTATAGCTAAGTATACAAAGGAGATAAGCACAGAAAAGATGCCGAACACCGTTAATCATCAGGGAAATGCAAATTTGAACCACAATAAGATACCACTTCCCACCTACTAAGATGGCTACAATCAATAGAGATGGACCGTAACAAATTTTGGTGAGGATGTCAGGAAATTAGAACTCCCTTATAATGCTGGTGGGAATGGAAAATGGTACAGCTGCTGTGGGAAAGAGTCTGGCAGTTCCTCAAAAGGGTAAATATAGTCATCCTCTGACCCAGCAGTTCCAATCCTAGGTGTATACCCAAGAGAAGTGAAAACTTACATCCACTCCAAAACTTGTACATATGTTCATAGCAGCATTATTCATAATAGACGATTGAAACAATCCAGATGTCCATCAATTGATGAATGGATTAATAAAATCGTGTATTAATATAGTTGAGTATTGGCAGTGAAAAAGGAATGAAGAATCGATACATGCTACAACATGGATAAATCTAGAAAACATGTTAAGTGAAAAAAGCCACAAAGGCCACATGTTGTATGATTCTGTTTATGTGAAATGTCCAGAATAGGCAAATCCATAGAGATAGAAAGTAGACTTTTGGTTGCCAGGGAGCGAGGGGAAGAAGGAGTGAGTACTAAGGTGTATGGAGTTTCTTTTTGGGTAATGAAAATATTCTCCAGTTAGAGGATAGTGGTAATGGTTGCACACCTTGTGAACATACTAAACACTACTAAACATATTCACTTTAAAAGGTAAATGTTATGGTATGTAAATTATATCTCAAAAAACCAAATCACTAAAAAGAAAAAAAGGAGGTAGACAAAGAATTCATTCCTTCTTTGTATTCAGAATGCATCTTGGCCTACTGCTCTCTGCACGGTAGGACTTCTCAAGGTTAACAATAGACAAACAGTTCCCCTTCCTCTGAACAGAGGACCCAGGATGTTTTCAGAAATTGAGTTGCTCCTCACAGACCCCCTTAATTAATGGCTTGACTTACATTCTGAGGCAAGAGTGGGTTTTTGAAGCACTTCTGTTGTAGATTTTACCTCATAAGTTCCCTTTCCCAAGAAAATCTTATGCGTTGTTTTTGTCTTTCTACCACCTCGAGTTTGACTTCATATGAAGGATATATACTTTTAAAATACATTCAACTTACCATTCAAAAAAGCCAGTGTTTTCTGACTGCAGAGTGCATGCAACATGTTATCAAATATCCAGCACCTTTTTTTTTTAAAAAAAGATAAAACGTAATAGTGTCTAGTTTAAGAATTGGAGTGACACAGCACATGTGGATGGTAAATAGCTTTACAGGTTTTATTTACATTACATGCCCATTTGTGGATCAAGAAAAGGCTTGTAAAGAAGCCAGACTTGGCTTTTGTGAGTGAAACAGAGGAGGAGACTTGGCCAGTGTTCCCATGCGAGTAATTTGTCCGAGTACCTCTGCCAAACAAATCAAGATGATGCAATTGTCTTATGACCTTTTTGTGCCTTAGATTCTTAGAACTTTCAAGAGCATGTAAGGAGAGATCTAGCTCTTTCCCTAACCCAAGACACCATGAAGGTAGAGCATTTCACATCATGTGTATCTGGCATAAGATAGAGTGGACCCTGCCCACAAATTCCTGTCATTGTTCATCTTCAGTGTATAGTTCAGCCTGGATGTAATATGCAGTTTGCCTTAAAAATGTCCCAGACTTCTACTTGTTATGAAGTTACATTATCTCAGTCAGATCTTTTATCATCATTCGCGACCAGAATCTTCAGTACTAACGCTCAGCCTGTCACGTAGGGAAAGCATTGACTAGGAGTCAGGACTCCAGCGCTGTCCTGATTGTGCCAGTCGCTGGCTGAGGGACCAAGATCACTGCACGAGGAATGGGGTTGGACCGACACTTAAAAGTTCCATTCAGGTGTTATGCATTATGTACCAAATCAGTCATTTCAGAGTTCCTTCAGTTTTGTCTTGTGATCTTTTCAAACTCCCATTAGAATGTAGCACCCTGGTACCTGTCGTCATTGGCAGTTTCTAGCAGCTCATGACCGTGAATGTGCCATGTTTTGAAGTGAACCTGTGGTCTCACATGGACCATGGGAGCTGGGAGTGCCTTCCAAGCAAAACAGCTGTGGGTAGGCCCCTATGCTCAGACCGGCATACTTTGGGACCTGTGGCCCTGCAGCCTGGCTACATGTGACTGATCAGGGATCAGCCCCTGAGCTAAGGAGAGCCATCTGTGGACTGGGCATGGCGGAGGACAGTGTCTTGTGACGTGTGTAATGAGCCTTCCTATACAGGATACACTCTGGGAGAAGGTCTGAATGCAAGGCTCACGGAAAGGGACTTAGTAAAGTGAAGCGGGGTCATGGGAGAAACATGGAGAGAAGGCAGAGCAAAGCTATGAGGACGCAGAAACGGACACAGTCCCCGATAACAATAAAAAGCAGCAGAAGTAGGGCCGGCCGAGTGGCGCGATGGTTAAGAACTCGCTTGGGATGCCAGAGGGCCCCGGTTCGGATCCCACATATGAGGGCCAGTGACACTGCCCTCTACAGCTAAGATGCTGAACAACAGCTCAACCTGGAGCTGGGCTGCCGTGAGTCGCCGGCGACGGCGTGGGCTGCAGTCCCTGTGGCAGTGGGTTGCCATGGGCTACCGTGTGTGGCCAGCAGCCAGCGTGAGCGGCCAGCAGCCGCAGTGAGCGGCCGTCCAGAAGCCGGCGACTGATCTGCCTCGCCAGAGAAGAGCGCAATGATGGTGCCAACTTGGGCCAGTGAAGCAACATCCTCCACAACTAGATTGAAGAACAAAACGACAGCAACTTGTCTGTTCCCCTTCCCCCAATTCCCCAGCACTGTTCCAATTCCCCAATAAAAATCTTAAAAAAAAAAAAAAAAGCAGCAGAAGTAGAATCAGACAAAAGAAGTTGAGAAAGAGCATTGCTTTCATTTGTTTTGGAGAACTAGAACTATCGTGTACCTTGCTGGCTCAGCTCTCAGCTTGCCCAGGGGGCTTCCTTGGGGCTTCCTGCTTCCGCACTTTTCTTTGCAG